AATCTTTCCCTCCGCAATCGCCTGCCACCCCCTTAAACTCCACGGCCCCAAATAGGACATGTTTCCAACTTCTCCCAGTCCTCATCGAGGCGGTTAGGCCGAATATGCCAACATGCCCGTCTTTGAATTAAATTCTCGCCCAAATCGAAGCAGTGCGTTCCCCACCCCCTCGCCCGACATGTCTACTCCACGGGCGTTATATCAATTTCATCCTCATGCAAATGTCCATACTGGGTCAGCTAACTCATCCGGTCCTCAGTTTTACCACGGCAGAAATACGTTAAAATATCCTGTTTGTGGATATACTGTAAAAAAATCCGCCAGCTAACGGTAGTAACCAGTTTTTCTGCCCGTTACTTCCTCCCTAAATTCCTACTTGTCCTTATCCACATCAGGGTCTTTTGATGCCACAAAATTTTTCACAGAACCGGACGGGTCATCCGGATCATAAATTCCAAGAGCAGCCAAGCACTGAACGACGTAGCTCATCTCCCACAGAAACAAACAGTCCTTCCCCTCAGACTTTTTGCCCAAAATACCAGTTCCTTGCTAAATAAGATGCCTTTGCTTCAAACTCTGGTTTTCGTCTCTTGCCCAGATATTGTTTTAGTAACTGAGACATGAAAAGAGCTTCCTAAGCTGACTCCGAACTCTCTCTTCTAGGCTTTACTTGCATTCCAAATGATCGTCAGGACAGATGTGGTGGGAGAAGCTCCACCTACGTTAACGAAACATTTTCATTCCTGCCGCTGGACCTCTAGTATTTTTCTGCGGTAGAAGGTAGATTCTGGCTCCAAGTTAATTTAAAGATAAGTTACCTTTACTCTTCGGCTGTATCTATCGCCGATCCAACGCCAGTGAGGATTTTGATCGTTGCCTCTCAAAGGCATTTCACGATGTGGCCGAATTACGCCCTACGTACCCGTTAGTTGCGGGTGATTTTGATCTTCCTGAAGTCCGCTGGTTTCCGTCTTCAAGCCCCAGAATGTTCGAAGACATACTCGTGACTGTAGATATTGGCACGTGGAGTTAATTTGTGGATTTCTCTAACCGGGGATCAGGCATCCCTGCCCTAATTTTCTGTAGAGACTTCATGCCTTTTCGGTGACATCCCTGGGCCCACTCGAACGTTCAGATCACAACATAATTTTTGCAAAGTTAGAGCTTGAAGTTGACAAAAATTTGTCCCCAAAATATAGTTTCTTCTTAGATTTCCGATCACCTCGCTCGGCCGAATTATTTACCCACCTTAATTCTTAGGAATGGACTGATTTTTCCTAAGTTCAGATGCCAATGTCTGTACGGCTGAACTGTAAAAAATTTTGGATCGATTATTTCTCGTTTTGTCCCCGTAAGAAAAGAACTGATGTCGGGAATGCGGTTTTCTTCCCCTTAACCTTTCGTCGTAGCTTGCGCAGATTTTCTCGCCGACTCTATCTTTAAAATGACGTTTCAGTTCAGCCCTCGATTAACAATATTTTGAGCGAACAAAGAGATTGTTCGAAGAAAAATAGCAAGCCGAAAAGGTACACTTCTCCGAAAACCGCTCCTTAAATGTCGTGACACGCTTCTCTCAAAAATCAGAAACTCGTAGAAAAGCACGACACCCCATCCTCCAAGACGCTCTTGGAAATCCTATAGCAGATGTCCAGTTGACCGCAGATAGTTTTAGTACGTTTATGTCCAAAACGATTATTAAAAACTCGACCTCTCCGTTTCCGAGCACCTAGGTGTGAACCATTGCCGTTCTAGAAACTATCAGTTTCGCCCTCTGGGACGTTAATGTAGCGATTCGGCGTTTTCGTTAATTTCCCAGTCCGAGACCTGATGTTATCCCAATTAGCATTGTAAAAGCGAATGCAAATGGAAATTTTCCGTCTCTCCCGTGCACGATATTTAATCTCGCTCTTGAAAGTGAAACCCATTACACTTTGTGGAAGGAATCACACATTTTGCCTGTCCCCAAACACAGTCACTCTACGTGAGTGTTGCTCAGCATGGATTTCCCAAAGCGCGGTCCTGTGACAGCTGTCTGCTCTCTTTCTTCGGCAACGTTCTCCAATCCAGGGACTATTGTTTTGCAATTTACACAGTCTATTTCGATTTCACTAAGGTTTTGGGTCCTGTTCGCCATGCTATACTTCTCTCAAAACTTTTCCCTTTCAGAATAAGTGACAAACTTCTGAATTTGATATCATCTAACATAAACGCTCGCACACAACGAGTTAAGATTTCCGATGTTATCTTCAACCCCACAACCGTGAGGAATGGAGCCATTGAGGTTAGCGTTCTTCCTTCGCTATTATTTTGCCTTTTTGTCAACGACGTACCAGGTTTATTTCGGAATGGTAAATCCCTCATACATGTCGATGATCTGAAAGTTGTGTATCGATGTAAGCCAGCAGATCGTGACATGGTGTTCGAACTCCTAAAGAGCAAACTACGGATCTTTGCCCAGTTGTGCTGTACATGGCGCCTTTATCTTTCTTGGCATAATTGCTCAGTTCTAGTGGTTCGCGATGCCCACCAACTCCCGCTTAGTATTGACGGTCACGACACAAATGTGTCAGACGTTATTAAGGATCTGGGTGTATCATAATTCCAGAGTATAAATCTTTAGGAGCACTGCACCCTTATAGTCTCCAAAGCACGCAGAACGACCGGGTTTATCCTCCGAAACTTAAAAACCAGCGATATTAGAATGTGCCTTTACAAAATGTACGTAAGACCTGGCCTGGAATACTGTTCGTTTCTATTTAGCCTCATGCGTTCTGCTGAGCAGACGAAGGTATAATCTATCCAATATTTTTTTGCCACTCTTCCTTGTTACTCCGGAAATGAAGGTCAACTATGTGAACTCTAGGAAGAAATCTCAGCGACTTCTTTCCAGGTCAATATCATTGTAGGAGATTTTAATTTGCCAGAGATTGACTGGCACACACATACATCCTCTCCTTAATTCCAGTAGCTTACAGACACCATTCGCTTTTTAAACTTGTTTCAATTAGTCTACTGTTTGGAAAGAAACGGAAGTGTATTAGATTTCATTTTTACTAATAACATATTCCCTCTATCTATGGATCGTCATCGTGACCTTTTTGCCAGTGATCATGCATTGATTCATTGTCGTCTTCCAGTTGCCATTTCGATAAAGCCAGCAGTAGAGCGTAGCTTTTCTGCTTATGCCAATGTTTCCAAGAAAGTAGTAAATAATTTTACAAGCACTCTTGATTGACACAATAGTTTTTCAAATAATCATCTAAAATGTCAACAATTTATTGCAGTACGTAGCAGATGGTCTTATCGACCTAATTCCACGGAAGACGTTTAAATCGAGTGCCACTTCCCCCACTGCCCCATATTTCCCTAAAAACAGACTCGAAAAGCGAAGAAAACAGCTTAAAGATCCATCCGTGAGCTCATTATCATGTCACCTAGGGGTCATTAAAATATTCGAATTAACCTCGAATATGTGGCTTGCGCGAGATAGGTGTAGAGAGTCTTTAGCTATTAATGGCATAAATGCTTCTAGATCAGTTGCGCAGATCTTCCGTCAAAGATCATCAGCTAAGTCCCACTAAGTCATTCCGCCTTTGCTTAGTACTAACGACACCTTCATTACAGAGGGTTCAGGTAAAGCAGAAATGTTAAATTCATTCTTTGCCGAACATTTCACCATTGAAACTAACCCAATCCCTTTAATTCCTTCGTAGTCTGATTCCTCCCTCAGCATCATTAATTTTGCTCTTGCGACTATTCAAAAACTGATAAACTGGCTTATTTACTCTCACTTAGTACGTATGGACAATATTTCGAACTCTCTTATAAGACGGCTAAGAGATTTTCCCCCTCCTATTAGCAAACTCATTTCAATCTTTTTCAATAATGGTTTCTTTCATGAATATTGGAAAATTTCTATTATT